CTCGTCCTTCTCCACGCCCAGCACTCCTCAGGAGAAGTCGCCGTCCGGCAGCTTCCACTTTGACTATGAGGTCACTCTAGGTCGCGGCGGCCTCAAGAAGAGCATGGCCTGGGACCCGCCTTCCGTGCTGGCCGGCCCGGGCAGTGGCCGCAGCGCTGCGAGCATCCTCTGCTCCTCCGCAGGCGGCCCCAACGGCATCTTCACTTCTCCCAGAAGGTGGCTCCAGCAGAGGAAGTTCCAGCCTCCGCCCAGCAGCCGCGGCCCCTCCTACGTCGTGTGGAAGTCCGAGGTAGGGACCCGCGCCGCTGGTGCCTTTGGACCCGGCCGGACGCCGGTGCTGTTCCACAGGGCTGGCTCCCATTCACTCGCGTTTACAGAGCCAAGGGCCGTTGAGGGGTTTCGTGATGTGGCTGCCCCGCCTGGGCGGGTCAGATGGTGCCTGGAAATGGGCCGTCCCTAGTGGCCACCTGCGTGTGTGTCTCTGGCCCCACTCAAAAGCAGCAATGGGCGCTGGACGAAGAGTTGGTGTTCTGCTTTCGTGTTTGTGCCGCGGGCAATTTCAATGGGTCATCCCGTCCCTTCACCCAATGTTGACAGTTTTCGGAACTCAAATGATGTGCTTCTATGCTGTTCGGAATGATCGGAGGAAACCTATTTTGAAAGGTGTTTGACGTCTGCTTGTTGTACAGCGACTTCAGGAACATTATTCTGGAGGGTGTTGTTGATTGTCTGCGTGCGCCCGCGTTTGGGTGGCAGAGGGGGAAACTACTAGAATTCTACAGTATCAATACTAGAATTCTCTAGTATTAATCTCTTCCTTTTCCTACCACGACAAGGGCCCAGTTTGAGAAATCTGACTATGGGGGAGGGTGTCCTTAGGGATATGAAAGATCATGGCACTATCCCAAAGGTCCATCAAGAACAATGAGCAGTGAGTGAGATGTATGTCAAACAGAAACCGCGAATAAGTAGGGCACTGCGACGGGGGAAGTTTGGTGGTACCTTTAAAATGTTTGCTCTCTGGTTAAAAATAATGGAGAACAGAGCTGTTGGGAAAGTGGTTGCTGGGTGCTTAGAAAGCCACGTACTTTTTGAGAATAAACAGTAGTTGTTTTGAAAATGAATAACTCCTATCCGTTATGGTCCACCAGCTCTATAGGTTTTGTCTCAGATCTGTTTCTATAAGGGAAGGGAGATTCTATCCGTTGTAATTAAATACTCTAAAGTGCAATTCACATTACAGAAAGAAATGAAATACCGTGTAACTGCGAGATTTAGGCCAAAGGAAACACAACTAAGACATTTGAAAATAGCATCCAAGCCCATACCTTGCTCTGTTCTCTGGAGAAAATATTAGATCTCAGTGTGATTTATCAGAGACATCATTAGCATCTCGTATTAGCAAAATGTTACTCACTGTGTCAGAGTAACTGCTGCCATTGGGGGTGTGTGTGGAGGTGGATAGAGATTACAAAAACTGTACAAAAATGTTGCTGACTGTTCTGCACATTGTTTAGTGGAAGATAGGCAGTAGGAGGAAAAGTCGAGGCAGACAGCAAGAGATTGTCACCAAACCACAGAATTGAGCATAACGAAGAGAACAGACAGTCACATTGGCCTGATCTTGCTCTTTAGCAGTGGCCAGATTTCTACTTGGTTTCAGATGCATGCTTTATCAGATTCATCTGCTGGAGTTGAGAGAAGTGCAGAGCAACCAAGTTCTTGACTTTGATAGCCTCTGATCTTCATATTTAAAACCAGTCACAGCACTAACAATGGCCCTGCCTTTCTTAGCAGCCATGTGTGCTTGGATTATAATATACAGATGCAGTTCATTGCTGTTAGGATCAAAAGGCCTCCGACTGTAGATAATCTCACCTGGTTGAAAGTCATCTCATAGATAATGGACAAATACCTCAACTGCAGCAACAGAGGGTGGCTTCTAGCTGTTTCATGCAGGGTTTGGGCAGTTTGCACCAATCTCATTGACCATGACTATAACTTCTTCGCCATGGTTAGAGTGAAGTCCATCTAGCAGAAGAACACAAACCACACCCACTGCCATTGAGTCCATTCTGACTTCTAGTGGCCCTATAGGACGCGTAGGAGCTCTGGTAGCATAGTGCCTAAGGCACTTGACTGCTAACCAGAAGGCTGGCGGTTCAAACCCACCAGCCACTCCT